CCCGCCCCGCGCCCCGCAGCCGCGGTGCGGCCCCGCCCGCCGCGCCACCCGGAAGCGCTGCCGGAGCTTCCGGGCGAGGGGCTTCCGGCCGGCGGGCCCGTTATCCCGGCGCGGGGCCGGCGATGTGAGCGCTGCGGTGGGGCCTGGTGAGCGGGAGCGGGAACGGGAGCGGGAACGGGAGCGGGAGCGGGAGCGGGAGCCCCGGGTCCACGGCCCCGCAGCGCCGGGGCGGCCGCGGCCGTGTCGCCGTTACCGGGTCGCGGCCTGCGGCGGGGCCGCCGCGCGGCGACTTCCCGGGCCCGGCCCTGGTGCTTTGTGAACGTGTGTGCGCGTGTTAGTGTAGGTGTGTATATAGAATGTATATATGGGTATGTACGTGTGTGTGTGCTGTATATACACGTGTGTGTATATATAAATCTATATATGCCGGCCTGCGCACAGAGCCGCTGCTTCGCGTCCCGCAGGGCCCTCGCAGCCCCTTGTTGTCCTTGTGGCCGTGCTCGCCGCCGGCCCCTCGCCCGCTGCCCTCGCAGAGGCGCCGCAGGGCGGCCCGAGCCCCGCGGGGTGGCCCTGCCCCCCGGCACGCGTGGGGCGCGCGGCGGCCGCGCGCGGGGCTCGGCCACGCCGGCCCCCCTGCCGCGCCGTGGGGTTAGCAGCCTCCCCTCTGCTGACGCGCGTGCAAAAGAAAGGAATAAACCCAAAAATAAGGACAAAGGGGGAGTCCTAGTGCTCGGCTTGGGCCCCCGGAGTTTGTGGTGGGGACACATAGGGGAGGAACGCGTGGTTCCTCGCCTGCCCCCCGAGATTAGCTCCCTGAGCGGTGTCCCTTGGTTTCTCAGGTGCTTTAACATCCGTGTAACAGCCTGGGCAGTTCTCGTGGTGGCATTTGAAGAGTTAATCGTTTTGTAACTTAAACAGGGGAAAGTCAAATCTAAATTTAGATTTAGAGGGCTTTTTTAAAGCTCCCTGTGCCTGTTAGATTGGCACTGTGCAGCACTGGCCGGCGCAGTGCTGCTGCACTGGCTAAGCTGCACACGCTGCCTGCGTGGTTTCGCTCAGTTTACGTTCAAAACGTGGTGTTGGCAGAAACTCCTTGTATTACATCCATTTTTTTTCTCCAGTTTTGTACAGTAATGTTTTTTTTTTAATACTACTCACGTATATTTCCTTCTGTCAGCACAGCATCTGAAATTGGCACCAAAGCCGAGTGGTTTCTGATACGTGGCGCTGGCTTTCCAAAGGGAACAGTATAATTTGGATGATGTGGAAAAAAAGGAAGCAGGGAAGGGATGTGCTGCCGGGGGCCGGCGGCTCGCACGTCCGATATTCGGTAGACGCAGATTAGTCTGAAGAGCTCTTTGGGCCTGGAGCTGGCAGAGAGGTTAGATCAGCGGTGGGGACGCCCAGGTGACGCTGCCCGCGTGCGGTCCCCAGCGTGACCCACGTGTGACCCACTGGGGTGGCCGAGCCGCTTCCCGGGCCCCTTGCCGCGGCTGCCGTGGGGAGGCCGGGGTCGCGTTGGGAGCGGCGTGGCGCTGCTGCCGGCCGCCCCTCTCGCTGCCTGCCGGGCCCCGCGGCGTTTCCAGGTTTCCTTGGGCCCTGGGGCTTCTGCGGGAGGCCTGTGGCAGAGCCCTGGTGCTTGGAAAGCTTCCCTCGGCCTCTGGCTAAAGCGAGCTCCCAGCAAGTTAAAAGGTCGCTTTGTAGCAAGGCGTGAGGGTCTCGGTTCAAAAACCCAGACGTTTCCTGAAGTGCTCCTTTGTTAACCCCTGTTCTGGAGGAAACGTTTAGTTTTCTGGGTTCTGGAAACAAAAAAATCCCTGTTGCTGGTACAGGCTGGGGAGGGAATTGGCAACTGCTCCTTGGCAGTACGACACAAATGATTGAAAAGGTGGCTCAGTGTGGAAATGTGGCTGTTTGTGGGAGAGCAGGCCGCTGGCCCCGCGCGAGGCGCCCGCCCGCCGCCCTCGTCCCCGGGGGAGCCGGCCCTGCGCGCGGGCGCGTGGCCACGGCCAGCCCGCCACGCCGTTCCTCCTGGTACGCCAGCGTCTCCCGGAAACGCCGTGAGGTTCCCTTGTGAAGGAAAGAGAAAATGTGGGATTCCGGAGCTGCAGCTGAAATACTGAGTTTGATTGCCCTACTTGTAGGGAGGTGAGGACGGGGTGGGGAAGGCGTTAGGGCAGGATGTTGCAGATAACCTGAGCATTACTTATTTACGGCTCAAGCTGTGCAGGAGGGAGGAAATCGGGACAGCGAGGCGTGACAGCGAGGGCAGCCCCAAGAGAAGCATGAGAAGGGGCCCTCCTGGCAGGGCAGGCTGCGTGCAGAGGCGAGAGAGCTCCTGCGTCGGGTGTTCGGGGACACGTCCTGAGACGCTCCTCCTCGATGCAGCTTTCTCTGCGAGCTGCAGAAGAGAGGGGATGGGAGGATGCAAGGGCTTCGCGTGGCGCGGAGCGCCCCGTGGGACTCTCCCCGTGAGCAGAGTGGCTTTGGGTGCAGCGTGAGGGCAGGTGCCCCTGCTCGGCACCCCAGAAAGCAGCTGGAGTTGCGTCAGTTGAACGTCCTGCGTGGGTAACTGTTGGCTTTTCAGCAGTTCAGCTTTTATGCTAGAGTAGCGTAGTTTGGGTTTGTCTCAGAGGAATGAATAGTCTCCTCTCTGGCCAAGTTTTCTGTTTTGCTCCACACGGTGCTAATGAAACCCCCCTCTTCTCTATTTCGTACCTGCTGGTGCCCGCTCAGGGGAGCAGGACCAGCTGCTGCAGTGAAAGTGCTGTTTTCACTCAAAAAGGGTGGGTGAACCCTCTGAAGTACATCGTAATGTCTGTGCCTCAAAGGCATGGCAATTTGTTTGGAATGTCTCCCCTGGGAAGAAAAGCTCTTGGACGTGCTGCTTATTGTTCTTAACACAGTAACTTGTTCTCTTCTTGCACGCGTAGTCAGCGTTCATTTCCTTCTTCATTTCTTAAGAGCAGCTGCCCAGTTATGAAAAGCTTGTTCGTAGGGTTGGACTCATATCTGTGCTGTTCTGAGGTTAAAACCGTAAATTCAGTTTATCTGGGCTGGTTTCTCCTTGTCTGTTCCAAGTGCTTCGGGAATCCTGGACTCGGGAGCTTGCTGTCATAGCCGGCTCCTTCTCACTCTGAGTTTTGCTTATGAGCAAAGTACAAGTTTGCGTTTGCAGCATGAATACGTTGGATCAGATAGCAGATAGCAAAGTCACAAGTGCTGATTGTTCTGTCCCTGTGCTTAGGGGAGATCTTCTAGTGAAGCAGCAGAGCGAAGATGAGCTGACGTGGTGCAGGCAGCTGTTCTGTCCCACAGCAATGCAGGGAAGAGGTGCATGCGATTTGGGGCTGCAATTACTTGACTTCTTCGGGAGCCTTTACAAAAGTGAATGTTGAGCACAGCCTCGACGTGTGGGAATCCTCCCTTCAGTATTTCGTGGAGGTGCTTTTGTCTGTGCAGCTCCTAGTGCAGCTCCCGCTTCCTCGCTGCGCTGAGGGCTGGGCGTCCCTGCTGGCCAGAGCAGCCTTAGCCAGGGACAGGCGAGTCCAGCAGGAGCCTGCCGTGTTCCCACAACCCTCAGGCGGGAACTCGGTGGAAACACAGGTTTGGGACACGGTGGAAGCGCTCGTTGGTGTTCGGGAGGCGTCGGAGATGTGCCCGTCCGTGGGCTCAGCCCGGGCCCCGGCCTCGCTTGGCTGCCGCTTGGCGATTCATTCTCTGCTCCTGTAACTAGTTTAGCTCTTGAGAGCGTATTATATAATGCAGTTTCAGTTTGAATAATTCATACACACACACACACACACACACACGCTGCTGGAACTTGAAAATTCCTAAGGAAACGAGTGTTTCTTCCTATTTTTCCAGTTATATCATGGAATTAATGTTTTTTTGATGAATACGAGTATTTCCTGGCAACACAATTTGTCTTGAAACGCTCCTCTTAATAGCCACAAATACAGCTAAAAGCTTAATTCTCTAGGCAAGATTCTCAATGCAGGCTGCAGAAACCTTCATGAAGAACCTGGCCATGTTGAAGATTTCTTTTACTTTCTTTCATTTTCAGCTTTTTTCTTTCCCCCCTGCATGTTAGAGAGTCCATTTGCGGTTTAGTCTGGTTTAGTGAATTTTTAAATGCATTTTTAAGGCTCCCAAGCATAGAGCTGTGCTACGTGGCCCAGAAAGGGAGCGAACAAGTAAAGATACGCATCGGGAGCGCCTGAATAAAACATCATGTTTTGTTCCAGGAGTTATTTTAATATGCAGATATGTAATGTGGAGCAAGGAGGGTGAGAGAACAGGCAGCTTACTGAAAACTTACTGCTGCATTTGTAGAAGAATCCCATTATTATTATTATTATTATTATTATCATCATCATCATCATCATCATTATTAAGACGTGATATTTAGCTCCGCAAGTGTCAGTTAAATTAACCCCTGACTTACGGGGGGCAAAAAGAGTACTGCCTCTTGGTGTGTACAGCATGTAAACTCTGAAGCAGAGAATATACATAAGTTAGGCCTCCTCAATAAGGCATAATGACTTTTGCTCCCTTTTAGGTGTGCGGGATGGTTTCGGTGTCTGCAGGTTTTCTTTTCTGCTTCTGTGGCAAGCAAGGAATTTCTTCCAGAAACAGAGATTTGCTTCCCTTTGCAGAGGAGTGCAGCAGAGATTTGGTTGCAGTTTTTCCTGTTACCCGTGAGCCCGGGATACAGCTGGACGTTGCTCGTGAATTGAGTGTGGCAAGTGGCTGGTTTCACCTAGCCACTGTAATTCCCAAGCAGGGATAAGTTTTCCGGTCGGGAGCGCTGATCTTGGTCGGGTGCAGCAGCAGCTGACGGGGCCGTGGCGAAGGAGCGGCGTCCGTCCTGCCGTCGCCGCCTCGCTGACCTCTGCTTTCCTGCAGGGAGCTGCTTCCCCATGTCCTGCCATGGATGATGATAGCCAGGATGAACTGATAAGCAAGGACACGGCCCTAGGCAAGGGCAAGAGGCAGGGTCTGACGCTCCTCAGTGAAGCAGGTAACACATCTTCTCTGTGACCATTGTTTCATTTTTCCCTGGGAAATTTTTGCTTCGCCCTCTAAATTTTGTGTCTTGACCCACTGTCTGACTTTATGGAGTTGCCCAAAACTTGCAGCTTTGGTACTCCTGAAAAGTAACATTTTCATCTAGGAAATCTGGCTCTTTGCTTTATACATTATGTCATGCTGTATCCTTCTCTGTTCTACTCGTTTGTTTGGCTTTCACATATCAGGTAGGCACTTCTGCATTTCTTGCCTTTTCTTTTTAAGAGAGCAATGGTGGAAATAGCTGCGATTCAGAAGATGATACTGAAAGTGGGGAGGAGGAAGATGACACTGAGGAGGAGGGAGGTGAGGAGGATAAGGAAGAAAGTGAAGATGAAGAATTAGAAGGTAGGTCTGGTAAGGTATTTTTTCAGAAAGAGTGGAAATCATTCCTTCCAAAAAGTTGCTGTGAAATGTAAATCCACAGATGTTCCAGAGAATGGCCACTTTCTGCTGCTGCTCTTTCAGACTTGTGCCCACATCCTGCAGCGATTATCAAACGTGCAGCATTCCCACACTTCTAAGTTTTTTAAGCTTTTGTGTGTCTGATGGCTGCCCACTGGCCAGGGTGTTATCCAGGTGGTAAAAGTGAAGCTTTTCTGCTGGGGCAGGAGCAGCAGTGGCTCCTGCTGTTTCCCCCCAGCACATACACACTGTCTTTGACAGGGTGCACTTTTTCGAATTCGGGTTGGTGTGGGGGTGTTTTGTTTGATTTTTGTTTGTTTGATGGAGCTTTAAAATGAAAAGAGGGGCAGCTTTGGAAGCAAAATGCTGTAGCTCTTAATAAACCTTGCAGAGGGTAGGGGGAAAGACTTGACTTTTCCTGTTTTAAAAAAATGTGTCAATATTGCTCGCATTTGTTAATTACAGTGAATAGGTAGTCTTTAGGTGCCCGGGCTTCAGCAACTGCTACATTCAGGTATTGTTTGGATAGGCACAAATAAATGCTTTTCATCAGCACATCCTGAAGTTTGCTGTGAAGGCAAGAGCACAATTTTCCAAGTTATTGGATAACATCAGCTTCAGTCTTAACTAAATCAAAGTGCCAAGAAAAGTATCAGTATCTTCAAAAAACCTCTCCTATGTCCAAGGAGGAGAATTCAATAGCCTGTACAAGGGCCCTGTTTTCACTGTCTGAAAAAGTGAAAATGTTTTGAGGTAATTCTGAAGAAACTGTTGCCCTGAACTGGAGAGGCTGTACTATGTCCTTGCAGCCCCACAAAAAAAGCTTTTTTCTACTCTTTGTCCACTAGCATCATCATCCCTTTTCCCTTCCTCATGGCTCTCTCTTGCCGGAACCTACAGCACATGAAAGTTGTTTCTTACCTCTTGTTTTTAAGATTGCGAAGATGACGATGAAGAGGAGGAAGAGACTGAAACTGCCACTGGGGGAATGACAGGTTCTCTGAAATCAGAGCCAGACCTAAATGGAGCGAGTGTTTCCTCTGATGAGGACGGTGAGAACTGCCCGATTTGCCTCAACACGTTCAGGGATCAGGCTGTCGGCACTCCCGAGAACTGTTCCCACTACTTCTGCTTGGACTGCATCGTGGAGTGGTCCAAGGTGAGCCGGGTTCTTCTCGCTCGCCCGTGGCCTTCTCATGTGCTCTGCTCTCTCCCTGCTTTGATCGCTCTCTTGTGTTGTAGTAAGAACAGGCCACTGTAGTATTTACATCTAATTTATTTTAAATTTCTTTATTTATTTTTCTTTTCCTCTCTCTGTGGACTTGAGTTACTGCTTTATTTGGCAAGATTAATGTTTGTGGAGTGTCAGTCTATTTTTCTTGTACCAGTCCTGTTCTGTTCCTCTCTCCTCTGAAAGTTAGCCTAGTCTGTGGTGGTAATAGTGATATCATTTGTTTTCCCAGCTTTTGTTGAATTTTACTAAGCAAGAAACAAGGTTTAATACTTAAAGGCAGTAGGTAAAAATACATGTCATTACTCCATTAGCAGTGCCTTTCTAGGCAGGTACAATTCTTGTTTTCAAGTGAAGGCAACAGTACTATTGGTTTTCTGTACATAGGCACACTTACCTCTCGTTGACTTCTGTGCTCTGGAGCAAGATCAGTGCCTGTTGCCACAGAGAACAGTTACCCACAGTGGGAGGATGTAAAAGAAGGAGGGCTACATCAGCAGGTTGCTCTGAAACTGGTGGGTTTCAGTCAAGGGTACCTGCTGTCCAACTAGGTAGTTCAGCTAACCATAACCAAGCAGGAAAATTACAACCAAACCTACCGTGCCTTCACCAGTGCCCATGGTAATCTTAAATAAATAAATTGGGCTTTTTGAGGAGGTTTGTGAACTGTTTCAAACTGCTCATTGTTCCAGAAGTGTAATGCCCTAAAACATGAGCAGTGTTTCAAGGAGACGATTGGGAAAACTTCAGTGTTACTTTGGCAACTGAGAGTATGGGTAAATAATTTTAGATGTCTGGTAAGTGCGTTTTATTTTTAAATGCATGTTTTCTCTGCTACAATAGACCTTTATAAACCAGATAAGTCAGATTTTAAGCACTTGAAATGTCAGGACCAATAGTTGTTATGATGTTTCCTATATTATATTCATAATTTCTATAAGGATTTGAAAAAAATCCCTTTTAAAAAACAAACTGAGAACTGTTCTTATTACCTGTTTATGAAAGATTTTTAAACAAGTTTTTCTTCCTAGAATGCCAACTCATGTCCAGTGGATCGAATCCTTTTTAAGTATATTAGTATTCGGGCGCATTTTGGTGGTAAAATTTTAAAGAAGGTAAGCTTTCTACTCTAACAAACTAGAAGTCAAGCTTTCACAAACTTCCACAGCTTTATCTGTATGAATTATTTTCTTCCTATTTTGAGACTGCCTTTTACAGACGTGTTACCTGTTTTCTTCCTCTTTAAACGTTATTTGCTGCAGTATTGTGCACAAATTAAAGCATGCTTTAGTTTCTGCTAGGAAAACTAATGTTTTTTTAATAACTGCCTATTTTGCATAATGGAAATTTGTCTCCAAGCTCTTCTATGGAGCCTGATCGTAGGGAGAAGATGCCCGGCACGCTGCACATGCCCTTGCACATCGGAGGAATGTAGCTTAAACTTACTCAGTCTGTTCCTCGTGTCTTGTCCTTGCTGTGCTGTGTAGTAGTTAGGTTTGTGAGGCAGGAGACAAGGTCAGCCCTGCTCTTAGAGGCACAAATGCAGTGTGCTGGTGGTCTCTCACAAAAGGGTATTGAGCCGCTGTCATCGTCCTTTTTTATTGGCGTCAGGAAACATATCTGTGTGGGGCTCATTCCGCCGCTCTAGGAGTTTGCTGCCTTTTCATAAACTTTATTATTTAAATGTTGGCATTGTAACAGAGGTGGAGTTAACACTTGAATCTCAAAATAATTTAGAAAAAATGCAGGTAATTATTTCTTTAGTTAGGGAAACAAGTAACTGCAGCATCAAACTCCTTATCAGGAGTGATCAACATTCAAGTTTGCTTTCTGTCTTTTTTTTTCTTAAGATACTTTCTTATTTCCAGGATTTTTGTTGCATATATTCTAAAAATGCAGTTTTCTAAAACTAAGTGTCTAACTTAGCATCTCTTAAGTGTCCGACTTAGCATAAATAAGGAAGCTACGTGGTGTTTTTCTGGTATTTGCTCATGGCCTAGGTATGCTGCACGCAACCGCGTTCAGGTATGCGGTAGCTGTCACGCCTGCTTTACTTCTAGACTTCCTTGCAGCTGCTGTTAATGCAGCAATGGGTGTTCCCAAGTGCCAGGCTCTGCCTAACACGTGGCTCGCTGTCTTCCTCAGATTCCTGTCGAGAACACCAAAACTCAGGGCAGTGACGGAGAGGACGATCCAACCTTCTGCGAGGTGTGCGGCAGGAGCGACCGCGAGGATCGCCTGCTGCTCTGCGACGGCTGCGATGCCGGGTACGGAAGGGGCACGTGCATATAGCCATATAGCTTCCCGTATAGCACCTGTACGTCCACAGGCCCTGCTGTGGGACTGGCTCCCCTATGGTCTGCAGGCTGTATCCGCCCTGCAGCCTGACAGTGTTGAGCAAAACAAGGTGCCTGCAGTGAGTCGGCAAGATAGTCTTTAAAAAGACTTCTGGCAAGCTTAATAGACACTTACTAAGCCTAGTTTTGACTGTGCGTTCTGTAGTTTTCACATAAATTAATTCATCTTCTGGAGAAGACACAAAATCAAGCACACTAAATTCTGCTCAGCATCTTAGCAGAAAACTGAGCAAGTGGTGTAAAGTACTCAAACTAGTGCGTCAAGGACTGGATTGCCAGTGTCCCTTGTCCTTTGTGTTGCATGCATGTAATCCTGGCCAGGCTCCTTGGTGCTTGTGAAAGGTAGGTGCAGGAGTGAAAGTGAAGGAATCGGAGAGAATGTGTGCGTGTAAAATAAATTTTTTTATTATTTTTTTTGAAAAAAAAACTTTTTTTTTTTTTTTTTTTTTTTTTTTTTTGGTAAAAACAGGTGTCACATTCCCTATCTGTAAAGTTTGGCACTATAAAGTTTATATAGACTATAAAGTTTAATTACAATGACTATTTTTTCCCTCTCCACGAGATGAGAAGATCTAAATAAGTGTGCAATGAGATCTCTGATGTCCAAGGTTTCAGGGCCGAAAGATTTTGCTTGGCTTTGGGTCATAATGCAACTTTACAAAATCTCAGAAATAATCTATCTAATGAAACTTTTGTTAAAAGAACTCTTTTATGGCTTTAGCCTGAACTTAGCAATATAACATGTCAGAATCAATCAGTTTTCAGGGGAAGCACCTCACTTACAGGAGAAATATGTTTTAATTCTATCTAGCAGTGTAGGTCGAATATGAGTTGTTCAAAAAAAATCTGTGCTGACACACGTAGCATTGGATGCGTTTTAACTGCAGCAAATGGAACAAATTATGGAACCAAAGTTGGGTAGTGCTTAAAAAAAGGCTTTTCTGAATAGCTTTTCCTTAAGTGGTTGGTGAAATTGTTCAATATAGCTGTTCAGAATGAAGTCTTTAGACTGAAGAACTCTTTGCAATGTTTAACTAAGGGAGCATCCTGCTTTCTTCTTTCCCTTTGAAATTTGATCAGGACGGACACAGTTCTCACAAGGGTGTTTTTAGAGATTGTGTGGTTAGTCTCCAGTCCCACCAGCAGCGTGGCAGAACTAATCTCCAAACCTTAACTTGGGCAGTTATGCAGAAATCTCCATCACCCGTTGTTTTTCCAGAGCTGCTGGAACATGTAGGATGTGTAATGCATGTATTTGGTGTGTCAAAGCATTGCAGCTGACCTGGGCCTGGTATGCAGAATAAAGTCACATTAAAACTGTGTCTGTTCCAGGGAAGTGATGATGTTTCTGGATTCTTTGTCTCCAGTGCTTTAACGTTCTCTGCCTTCACTTCACCACCATCCCTTTATCAGTTTTGGCTCTGTGCACTTGTTTCAGCTTGGATTCAAAAAAGTATTTAGGAAACAATGAAGGCAAACACACTCTTTATTTCTTCTTTTTTCTCCTTTTTCTTATTTTTTTCCTAATTTTTTTTAAACTTAAAATGTTCAAAGATCATGATTTGAAGACTCTGGTATAACCATCAGGTAGGGTTGTTTCTTTGGGAATTGGTAGAGGTGGATGCATAGACCATAGTTTCTTGCTTAACTAAATGTCTTTGCATATGGCATAATCACATCGTGTGGTAATTTAGTTTTCCTGTCTTTATTTTTTCCCCTTTCTAGGTACCACATGGAATGCCTTAATCCACCTCTGAGTGAAGTCCCAGTAGATGAATGGTTCTGTCCGGCCTGTGCCCCCATGGGGGTCAATGCTGCTGCAGGTAAGGGCTGGGTATTATCTAATCAGAATAGGAGGTTTTTTTCTTTTCATTTAGACAACATGAAGCTGCTGGTTGATCTATTTTCAAGCAATTATTTTCATAGACATCATCTCTTATTGAGTGAGAAGGGGGTCTTGTTTCCTAAAATGTTGATTCACAGTTAACAAAATGGGGAGTTTCTTCATAAAAGCATTTAAAGGCATGATGAAACAGCACCTTCTTACATTAGAAGGAATCTGTTGGTATTCAGACCTCGGATTGCCGGGGAAATTACCTGTAGAATGGCAAATGACCTCGGCCTCTTTTCCTTCAAGACACAGATCACGTGAGTGAAGAGGAGGTGGCCGCCCTCGTGGCTGATGTTGTTCCCACTACCAGCCGGCTGCGGCCGCACGTCCGAACCCGAGCCATAGCCAGGACTCGGCAGAGCGAGCGAGTTAGGGCCACGGTGAACAGGAACCGGATAACGACTGCCCAACAGATCCAGGTATTCACAAGCATCAGTTTCGTTGGAAGCCGTTGAGAGAGCTGAAACGAGTCCCCAGCTTAAATAGCTAAGCGGCCCGAGTGTTGACTGTCCAAGGTAAAATCGTTGGTTGAATTCACTAGGAACACTGGAATGCTATAAGCTCTGAAGTCAGGCTTGACATAAGGAAAAGGTGAGGACAGTAAAGTCGTGGCACAGGTTTGCCGTAGAGATTTTGGAATCAGGAGAAAGTCTTCAGCAACTTGGTTTGAATTCAGTGTTCATCCAGCTTTAACTAAGGAGCTCTTGAGCTGTGGTCTTCAGGGACACCCTGAAGTCCTGTCCGCACTCCGTGATGCTATGGAAATAAGTTTTTTTTTTTTTTTTTTTCCCATCTGACAGTAAGATATACAATTTTGCTTGATTATATCAAATCATTTTTTTTTCCAAAGGTAGGAAACTGTGGAAAAGACAAAGAAGGGAAGAATAGGTAAAACCAAATGTTTCTTCAGATAATTCAATTGGCAGTGGATTTCCAGTTATGCCTGGTGCAAAGGCTGTAGTACAATGGGTAAGACTGGGAAAAGACTGAGAGGGAGGCAAGAGGTCAATTGGATGAAACTTTCCCTTAATTTCCAATTGTAAAGGTTGGGTGAGAAAGAAAAACAAAGTGCATTTAAGATCTGTGAAGTGCCTCGTCTTCATGCCCTTTCAAAAAAAATATTTTCTGTAACTTGGGAAGAAAACTAAAAGTAAATGAAGACAGGTATATAGGAAGCAAAGAAAAATGCTAAAATCTTGGGAGGGAAAGGGATATATTCTGTTATTATCTTACCTTCCTTCCATCTGAAAAAAACCAGTTCATTAAACTGTTCATTAACTCTCCAGGTTCTACCTGTTGAATATTTAATTGAAACATTTATAATGAGAGGAGAGGGATTTGTAGCAAATCCAGAGTAATCTTAACTGAAGCAGTGAATACAGTCTGAAATTTGTTCCATGGATGAAGGTCCGACTTGTCTGGTGTTTTTAACATAATCCTTCTGAATGATTATGGGGACTTCCACAGAGTGTGTTAGTAGTCCTTAAATTCACTACCTCCTCCATGGTGGGCGTCACCTCGCTTGGATGCAGTCCCTTATCTCCAGAATTGGCCACTTTAGTTCCTTCAAACCAGAGGTGATCAAATAAGAAGACTTAAGGTTGTGATGCATTCCTGTTAAGCAACTGCTTAAGGAGATGCCTAGGAAAATCACGGTGGCCGAGCACTGTGTGGGGCTTGCAAGGTAACTGCTAGTGCTTTTCTTTCTCTCCCTGCCTGTTCCAGAGATACGGTGTGTAGCCGTCTCCGTGCAGATGAGAGAGGTGGTGCCCGGGCACTTTCCCGTCGCACAGTAGTGCGAGCCTGGGTGCCAAGCTCTTCCCAGTCAAGAAGCCCTTCCCAGCTCCACTTCTCAATCTGCAGAGATTGTTACAAACTAGACCTGGAAAGGTACTACTGCTTACTTCACTTTGTCTGTAAATAAAGGCCCATTTTATTCTAGCCTATACTTTGAGTTGACTGAAGCTTAATTCTACTGGTTGGAAAGGAGAGCTTAAGCTGTTGTCCTCAAAGCACACAGAGATGCTGATTTCAGATTCTTGGAAAGCTCTTGTTTTCAGGTCAAGGGATGGCTTTGCAATTCATGCTCTGTTCCGTCCATGCCAAATAGCGGCGATTACCTTGACATCCTGATTTAGGCCCTTCCAGGGAAACAGGTATTTTTGACTAGACTGGTGTTCAGGCTTCCCTTATTTCATGCTGTCTTTCTGCAAATCAAAGAAGTTTATATAAAGTCTGTTGGCACCCACAATCCTTAAAAAAAAGGCGTTCCAATAAAAACAGGTCAGTAAAAATAGTGTGGAGCGCTCATTAGAAATCCTAAGCACGAGACCTTATGAATTGCTCCCATGTTAGGATGAATTGAAGCACCTCTGCTGATACGTTCCGTTCTCATCTGTTCTGCAGTTTACTTGTTTGCCCCTGCAAGATGCTCTAAAGCAGGTTTCCCCTAATATTTGTGTCATTATGTATAAATCTCTTCTTTCTGTAGAAAGCAAGCATGGTGAATGGTCTGTATCCTTCAGAAGCATTTGCTCCGTTCATAGGATACTTATCAACACAGATGCATTGTAGCTGCTTAAATAAAGGGTGTGAAAGAAACACGTTATGGATGTGGCTGGTATAAGCATGTGCTTTAATCTAGCTGTTGAGAGATTTCTCTTTCCCCTTTCTAATGAAAGGGAGTTGAGTTCACCTCCTGAACCTGGTGCCTCAGGCTCTGTACACGTCCAGTCTGTTTAGCCATGTTAAACGTGGCTGACCCCCTCTCAAACTGCAGAGAGAGGCAGGAGCAGCCCTGGATTGCTGCAGATAAGGACAGTGCAGGGGGGATTCACGACTGCCATGAGGTCTATGGGGCACGTGTCCAAAAAGGGCCCTGCTAGTGGTACAGCTAGTGCTGCAGCTTCGGGACAAGGGCACCAGCTCAGGGCACCAGCACGAACCTGGCCTAAGGAATGAGGTGCTTAACGTGGGGGCCCCCGTATGCTCTGCCTCTTTTGCCTTTGTCTCTATTGCTTTGCTGCCTGAGCAGTCAGAGGTTATTGGGGCAGGTTTGGGAAAACTCTCCTGCGTGAATGTGTGGGATTGTTTTCATTAAAAAATAATCAAAGTTGGACTAAGCCGTGATTATTACTGCTGAGCGAGTCCCAAAAACATGGTTATCTCTGCTCGTTGTGACAGTCAGTAGGTGAGAAAAGCAACATAACTGCTCAGCTGACACCTTGGTTGATGTTGGAATGTGTCCTGGCCACTTTTCACTTGCGTGCAAAATCTCTTTTCCATCAAATGCTTTTATAGTAATCCTGAGGCTGATCTTTACCAGTAACATGTAACTTGTAACCCTGCGTGCAGCACGTGCCGAGGTACCTCATGTCCTCTCTCCTGGATGAAACCATCGAGGCGGTCGTCGCAGGCCTGAACACGGCCATCTACCAGCGACCTCTCACACCGCAAGCTCCACGGCAGAAAAGAAAAACGGGTAAGAAACCTTCTGTAATTCCCACCTGCGAAAAATAAAAGCTTTGGAAAGGAAAGCCCGCGTCACAGCAAACACTCTAGAGCAGCTGTAGTGTGCCACACCTCTGCAACTACACAAATATCCCACGTGTATTTTCTTCTCTTTCCAAGAAACGTGACTGTTCCGTTTAAAGGTCGCTTTTAAGTTAATGCTGACTATTTTGGTGGTTCTGCTGTTGCAGTGCACTGTAGATACCTCTGCTTGAGCTGCTTTGTGTGTCATGGGGAGGTGAAAAAGGGAGTACAGGGTAAAATGCAGTGCCAGCACTCAGCCAGGTACTTGGTTGCCTTTGTCCCATCAGGTAGGAGGAAGAAAGTTGCAGGCAAAAAAAGAACACAGACAAGATCATCTGTTGGGAAGAAGAGTTCCGGAACACACCTGAAGAGACGCAAGCGTCTAATGAAGAAGAGAAGGGGGAAAAAGATAAGAATAAGATCACATGTGAGTTTCTGCCAGTATCAATTCCTTCCATTTTTTGGCCATCTGAACTACAAAAGCAGCATCACAGGGGACTCGGTGGGAAAATACTGTTTTATCGTGATAACAAGATCACCTCTTTCTGTGGAAGTATGTGTAGGTCCAGCAAGACATTGTGTAGGGAAATAAATTATAACTTCCAAGCAGACCTGCTGGGTTTGCTGGCAGAGTCTGTTATCTGAACTGCAGGGTTCACTCAACACACAGCCTGAAATACACGTTGTGTGATGTTTCTGTCACTAACCTGTAGTGTTTACTTAATGTAGATACCAACTCGGTTAAAATTGCCACCACTTCCTCCTATGTGTTCTAACAGGCAGCAGATACTTATGTCTGTGTTGATGCATTCCTGCAAACTGCAATTAACTGCAAACCCAGTTAATTAGTTATGAGGGCTGTCAAAATTCTTCTCTGGTTGTGGATAGTGATCTTGTTTGAACTGCCCTGAATGCTCTGCACCAGCTTGGCTTTTGTCTTGACCTACGTGAACTAGAGAATATTTCCCTAAGTCTAGTATGTGCAGCCTCTGTAGGAAATGACATAAAGATTATAATTGGAAGTTTAATAAATGCTTTAAAACAAAAATACGAAGTGCACAGCACTTGTGCTACAGGGTGCTGTAGATCAGAGTAATAACCTGATTATTTTTGTTAACTGTAAAATTTGGAGCTTTTAAACACAGGATGTGCATGTACCCTAACATGCTTCCCATTTCAGCCAGTAAGCTGTGCAGATCAGCCAAAACCAGAGTTGAAATAGTGCTTCCAAACTGCCGTGGTTTCTTAGGAGCGTTTCTACAACAGCATTATTTGCATTCATAAGCCATTATATTTTACATTTGGTATTGAATTTTACATTTGCTATTGACAGAAGCTTGTTTTGCAAAAAATAACCTCATTTCTTGATCTGTGCAGGTGAAAAATGAGGTTACTACTCGCTCCCGTATTGCGAGAACTCTTGGTCTTGGTAGACCCGTGCGTGGAGCCTCCATCCCTTCTGTGTACAAAGCAACGGAGCCCTCGCTTGGTCTTATGAGGGCAGATATTGGTGCAGCTTCTTTGTCAGTGTTTGGAGATCCCTATGAACTGGATCCTTATGAAAGGTAAAACACCTTCGCACTGAGGACCCGATGGCTTCCCAAGCATCAAGGTGTTTGCCTGTGAACGTAGATACATTCCTGTCTTTGTGGATATTTGAAGCCTGGCTATCAAAAGGTTTCTGTAGTATTTTGGAAAAGAGCTTGTGGCTTGCAGGTAATGCAGATCTTGGATCTGAAGACAGACTTTGGATACACATCTCTCAATAATGTATTTTTTGTGCTTTGTTTTCTTCCCTTCTTGTCCCTCTTTAAAAACGTTTGCCAAAATAATAAGCCTCATAGAAAAGTTAACCATAGTTTTCATGAGGTTATTCAAAGGCCAGAATTCAAAGGAGTCAGGTCTTTTATCACTTGTTACTTACTAGTTTTAACTAAAGTTAGCCAGCATTTTTCATATATAGTGTGCAGTAACTTAATGTAGACCATTAGAATCTTCCATGCTTTTCTCTCTTTCCCCTTCTTCCCTTTTCCAGATAGTTTAAAATGAAGTGAAATCTTACTATGTCATAGTCTTTACTCTTAAGTCCTAGATTTTGGAAGCAGGAAACTGGGGAGAGGGATCTGGAATTAGTGTTATCAAAGCTTAGTTTGCCTCTAAGTAAACTGTTTTGCCTGTCTTTTAGAAAGACATTGCTCACTTACGTATTTTTTTCTTAATCTGTTTTAAAAAAAAAAAAAAAAAAAAAAAACCCACCCAACATTCAAATATACATAATAGTTGAATCTAGGCTATACTGTCCTGTCTACTTAGCAGCAGAAAGCAAGTGTATTGCAGAAGTTGTCTTGTATATACATTGTAATAAAACAAATGATACTCTTCTTTAACTGTGTCTGTTCTGATGATCTTACCTACTCCCTCTGTTTGTAATGAAAAAACGCCTGAGTTTGTGTTTCTATTTGCTTTGCCCACAGCAATGAAGAGGTTCCAGCAAATCCAGATTCACCAGTGAGCGCCAAAAGGAGAGTTCTCTCCCAGTCAGCACTGAGGTCTCATCGTCCTGTAGCGAGACCTGTTTCTGTAGGGCTTCCCAGGTAAAAACTACTCTCTTTTTGGGAAAAAAAGAGAGCAGTGTAGGTCAGGGGAATGGATTTGTGGTCCTGTTTGGTTAGGAAGATAAATGGGATGGGAGCATCTCCAAAGTGCTAAATGGTGTTTTACTCTTCCAAAATGAATCTTAAGATGTGCTAGAAACTTCAGCTTGCTGCATAACACTTAAGAGTGTTGCTCTTAAGATGAAAAGCACCTGTTTACCAAAGATTTCTGATACAATTACATACTTTCCTGTTCTGTGGTGTTTTTGCAGGATGTAACTAAATGCTTGAACTTCTTATCAGAGGGAGGTGGGTGCTGAATGACTTTGGTGAAGCCAAAATTATAAGTGCACTTCCCTTGCTGACTTCTGTTTCTGCCCTTGATGGTTGATTTTTGGTTTCTTTTTAATGTAACGTGTGTGTATAGAACAAGTGCAGTAAGAGTAAAGGAAATATAACCCCTCTGAAACATGCAGAAGCAGTGTGCCTGCCTTGAGTCCTGAGCAAGAAGCTGAAGCTGCCCCTGTGCCTGACCTGCTGGGAAGTATCCTGTCTGGACAGAGCTTCCTCATGATGAGTAGTTCGGATGTGGTCATCAACAGAGATGGCTCGCTGACAGCAAAGAAGGCGGGTAAGCTTTGGTGCTCCTCTTGTGCCGTGACTACTCCTATTTGCATCTGCCTTGTCCTGCAGGCTGTGTGGTTTCAAACACGTGGGGTTTTATGATCCAGCAACTATGGGCTAATAAACCCAAACCTGGTGACAACTGTAGAACAGGATAATTTGTGTCCTAAATATTAGTGTTGACTTCAAAGATACAGTTGTCTGGCTTTAAATGTCAAAAATAATTATTGGACTGTCTTCCTGCACTAGCATGTCTGTAAGCCAAAGTGGAACATGAAGTGTAATCATGCTTAATGTTGAGGAAAAATGACTGAATGTGTATTGAACAACTTAATTATTCTCTTGTATGACATAGCTCTGCATCCTGGAAAGCCAGCAAGTGACTCCAGAGTGGATGATGGTTCAGGACACAACCTTCAACCAAGTGCAGTGCACTCAGGGACCACAGCAGGTAGCTCCGTCGCTGGACCTTCGCTTTCCTCGGGGACAAGCCCTCACTCCAGACCCACCTCATCGAGCTTGTTTTCGTCTCCTTTGCCCTCATTGAGCAAGACTGAGCCCACAACAAACCCTGCACAGACTGCATCAGGCAAGGCAACTGTCAGATCAGAATGCTCAGTGATGCCCAGATCTGCCCAAGCTCCTGGTCTGACTAGGCATGGCTCTAAGTCAGATGAGATGCCCAAATTTAATGGAAACTCTAAGCGCTTTGCAACCTCTGGCATGTCTTCAAAGACCCCAAGCTGCAACTTAAATTCTGGCTCAAAAGCTGTAAACGTGAGGCAGCCGTTAAAACCACCTCCAAAGAGAATTGATATCTTTGAGCTTCCCAGGATACCAAAGATTAAAAAGGAAAGCAGCAGCAAGCAGGTGGAACCAGATCCCGCAGGAAGCCAAAGCTGTGACATCCCTAGCTCCTGTATAACCCAGCTGACTGGCAGAGAGGGTGCCAATCAGCCGGGGAAAGGCAGCAGGGTGGAAAGTCAGAAGTCGAACGCCAGGGAATCTCAGCAGCAGACGCGTACGAGTGGGGTATCCTTTTCTACCAATACAGGCATGTATGGCAGTTCATCACTGGGCTCTTCAAGGGGCAAAGGCCCAAGCTCTTTTGAGAGTTTTAAAATTAATATACCTGGAAATGCAGGGCCTTCCAGCAGACCGTCTAATCCAGGATTTTGTAACACCTTCCGCCCCGTTGATGACAAGGTCCAGCAGAAGGAGAATTCTTCGTCTCTCTTCTCTGTTAAGAAAAAACAGGTCAAAAGTGAAATATATGATCCCTTTGAGCCAACAGGGTCAGACTCGAGTTCAGCAAGCAGCAGCCCTGAAAGGCTTGGCTCAGGGATCCCCCTGACTAACATCACCAGGACTATTTCCATTGAAAATCCAAAAGTTCAGACATTTCAAACAGTCCGTCGTTTTACTCCTTACACAGTAAAAAATATATTTGGGTCTGAATCTGATGTGCCATCTAGTAATGCGGAGGCTCATGATGATGCAACAGTAGAAAGCAGGATTGTAGAACAGATCTCTGATACAGAGGAACAAGAACGTATGGATGAGGAGGATTTTCTAAGCAGACCTTGCACTTCATCCGCTGTTAAGCAAATTTCTAATACAGAACCTTTAAAGGAGGAGAGCAGAGAAGGTCCTAACGTGTTCTTTAATGCTGAACAATTGATTAGGCCCAATATTAATGTGAAACTAGAACCAGCTATCCCCTCAAAGAGTGATGGGCAGCAAAAAGTGCAAAAAACAGAACAGACAGAGCGACGATCACGTTCCAGATCCTGTTCAAACTCCAGTTCCCGAAGCAAGAAGAAGACAAAAAGGAAAAAGGCATTGGTCAAAGAGCATAAAAGATCCCGGTCAGGATCTAGGGACAGAGTGCGTTCAGGGGACCAGAGCTCCAGGTCCACTTCTTGGTCGAGTGGAGAAGAGCACAGCAAAACACACAGGTTGAAACCCAAGAGCAGGAGGTCTTCTACTGACCGCTCTAGTAGTCATGAACGATCTAAAAAAAAGAAAACCAAGGATAAAACCAAGGATAAAAAGACAAAATCCTCCTGGTCTAAGGAGAAAAGGAAATCTAGGTCACGTTCAGGGAGCCCTGGAAGTACTTCAGAGTTTCATGAAAATAGGAAAAAGAAGAGACGGTCTCGATCAAGATCAAGGCGGAGGGATCGTTCCCGATCAAATAGTGGTGAGAGGACTAAGAGACGGAAGCACAGGAGGGACAAAAGCTACGAGAGACATGACAAAGATAGTGGCTTGAGGTCCAGAGAGAGAAAGAGATCCAGATCCAGGTCTCGTGAGAGGAGAAAGTGGCGCTCTCGGTCTCGCTCTGCATCTCGGTCTCGGGAGCACAAAAGCACCAAGTCAAAGGAGAAGAGACCGCGGTCAAGATCGCGCTCCAAAGAAAGAAAACACAAATCAAAGGAGACCGTGCCTTTTCCTCCCCTGGAAAAGGATCAAAAGCCTCCAGTAGAAAATGTATCCAGGACTCTAGAGCAACCCCATGCCTGCGAACAGGAGCCGAAGGAGGAGCTAGAACTCGAACAGGTTTCTATAACCATCCAACAAAACATCAAGCTCGAGGAGGAAACACAGGCTGAGATCCCAGTACAAGCGAGGGAGCCCCAGGAGAGTATAGAGACGGAACAGATCTGTGAGGACGTGACAAATGAAACTGTATTCCCTGTGCTGGAGAACACAAGCATTTCTGTCCCAGCTAGCAGTGTGGATTCCTTAGTTGAAAAGGAATTAATGAGTAATAGTGATTCATTAGTGCTTGGTAGCTCCAGCAATACCAACCTCGAGATTACGGTTAAAATAGAAAACACTGCTCCGTGTCCATCTCTGATGGACGCCCCTCAGAAGAAGGAAGTTACCATGCAAGCTCAGACTGAGGCCGCACCAGTTCAAAGCTCATCCAAAAGTGAAGTCACAGACCCTGCGAAGGACGATAGAGATGAGTGCCTTGTGTCAAGTGAAGCAGCCAGTAAATTCAGCAAGCCCGAACTGGAGGTGGCACCTCAGGGTCCTGCGTTGAAATCTAAAGCCCCAGTGAAAAGAGTTACCTGGAATCTGCAGGAGGAACAGAGTGGCACGTTGTCTGCCGGAAGAGCTCCTAGTAAGTCTGCCTTGGGCTTTGGGAATACCAACAGCAGCCGGAGCAGGCAGTGCGAGCCGGAGTCGCGGTGCCCGGCTGGGGGTGCTCGCAGTGTGGTAGGTTCCTGTGTCCTCCGAGCCGGGCTCGGGCTGGCGTTTCGCAGTCCAGCCAGCCTGTGTGTTGTGCTTGTGGGAACCTCGAGGGCAGCCGGGTTAATGAATGGGGAGAGCCGGGCCGAGAGGACGTGCTGCCGCGCAGCGCCGCTCGCTTGGCAGCCTGTGAAGCTGTGAAGGGTCTCCTTGGAGCAGCTCCCTGAGCTGGCAGCCTGCACGCCAGCCCTTCTGCAGCTAACTGGAATGAGCTTCTGTTTTTTTTTCTTGAAGCTCTTAACTTTGTCTGGAAATGAGCAGCTCTGCACGTCTCCACAGTTGACCCTCGCGAGCTCTGATGAGCTGAGGCTGCTGGAAAGGGTTTGGCTGGGCCCCTGTGCTTTGCGTGCTGGCAGAGCTGTTCGTGTGCTTCTCGCTGGCTACTCTCGTGCAAACGCTGTAAAAAGCAGTTGCAGGAGAGGATGAAAAGTCCTTCGTTAACAAAAGCTGTAAAACATTAATGCACTGTTAAACAAAACCCTTTTATAGCCAGCCCTGTTGATAACTTGTTTATAACTGTCTTGGAATCTTTGACCTGCTAGGTTTATCTTGTTCTTAAAATGTTTTCTCTTTCTGCTTCTCTTGGGGAACCTAGGGATGCCGTTCTACCGGCTTCAGCGAGCGAAAGAAGGGGCCTGGAAAGCTGAGGACTTGAACCAAACATTAAATCAGGTGCAGTTAAATGAGCCTTCTCCAACCAATTACGTGATTCCTGAGCCTGAGTTTCCTGGTCTAGATTCCTCTTGGCTTGGTTCTTTTTCCAGCAGCCAGGTGTCATGGAAAGCCTCCCACCTCATCTGTGCCCTCGTTGTACAACACCTTCCTCTCGCAGCAGAGTTCCTTTCCTGCATGTTTCATAGACCCCCCACCTCAGCAATCCATATTTAATCTTCCAAGTGATCCTGACGGTTGAAGAAGCACATTTTCTGTTGCACTATATACACAGCTTCTGTTTCCAGCACTTCTTGTCAAGAGATTCTGCTGTTGGAGAAGCTTAAGAAGTATTTGGTGCTGAGGCTGCCACAATTGGCCTGCTGGCCTTGGCTTGTGCCATCAGTCTGTGTTAGACCCGCGCAGTGCTGAGTGGGGCAGGAGCCAGCTGCTGTTGCACAGAAACTTTAGTTGAGGGATGGGTCTTCAGCCTCCCTGGCTCAAACTAGTAACTGCTTACCTGTTTCACTGGATAAAAGTGTGTTTGGCTAGTCTGTTTGCTTGGCTCTCCCTTCCCTCCCTTCCCTCCCTTCCCTCCCTTCCCTCCCTTCCCTCCCTTCCCTCCCTTCCCTCCCTTCCCTCCCTTCCCTCCCTTCCCTCCCTTCCCTCCCTTCCCTCCCTTCCCTCCCTTCCCTCCCTCTCAGTACCAGCATTAATGGGCCTGCCTGTTCCACAGGTGTACTGTCAGAACGTACCTTTGACGCCGCCCCTGCCCTCCAGCCTTCCCCCGTACGCGCCCGTCAGCCAGCCCACGGTGCAGTTCATCCTGCAGGGCAGCCTTCCAGCACTCGCCTCCGCAGCGGGGCCCAGTTTGACTCCGGAGCCAGGCAGCCTGGCTCCTGCCTCCGAACCGGGGATCCAGGCTGCCGCCGTTGGAAGTGCGGAAGAGAAGGTGAAAGCACCCAAGCCTCCAGTGGATAAAACAAAAAATGAAGAAGTGAGTGAATGCTGTCAAGTAGAAAATAACGTAACTAGAATTAGGCATGTAAGCCACATTATATGCTGTCATCTGCAGTATGGTTTTTTATAAAAAACATTCTTTAAAATGCAGAATATTTTTATGCAAAACAAGATTCCTTAAAGCACAAATCAGTTTGTGTCAGAACTGTAACTTACGAGGTCAGCTCTTACTTGATTTGTTGAAAATTAAGATGCATTTGACAATTTCTTCTTTAGCTCTTTACTGATAGAACTGGATTTGGAAAGCATTCCCTTGGTAACCCAAAGTAATGAACTTTTTTGCTGTGTAGTACATGAAGAAGCTTCACATGCAGGAAAGAGCTGTGGAAGAGGTGAAACTTGCTATTAAACCCTTTTACCAGAAGAGGGAGATTACAAAGGAGGAATACAAGAATATTCTGCGAAAAGCAGTGCAAAAGGTAAGATGACTGAATTGGAGGAGTTGTGCAGAAAGCTAAATAAGTGGCAGCACTTTAAATTGCACTTGTAGACTTCACTAAAGAGGTGCTCTAACCGAATAGCTGATCTTGAGATACTGTGGACTTTCAGTGAAGCAGGAGTTGCTTTAAGCAAGGCTAAGCAGGCCATTTGTGACAGCTGCTGGACTGTTCCTTTTGTAAGATCATGTATTCAGTGGCTTAAAACAATGCTAAGCTTTAGCTGCCTTTCCTGAAGCATCACATGCAGTATGTTTTGTGAATGGTTAAATTTTATGTTACCAATTCTGGCCAAAAGGCTCAAGCTTTTCTAATTAGAAGTTAGAAAAGACTTTTTGTGTTAAAACCTGGTAACACTCTCTGTAATGACCATGTGCCTTGTATCTTAGCCTACATTGATTTTGGTCTCAAATGTTAGTACTGACCAGCTTGTGGTTTAAAAAATACGAGATGAGCACAGGTGGTCTTGTAAAGAAGAGTAATGATTGTGTGGTTGAGGCGGTTTAATCGTGCCTCAGAGAGCCATATCACAGAGAGGAAAAACCTGGCTTGGCTTTTGCTTGATTGCACTTAAACCAAGATCTCGGGTGTCCATATTGCAAACAAATGTGGAGGGCAGAGCCAGAGCTGGCACAAGGCTACTGTAAAACACTCAAGGCAAGTGCCAGATGTCTTACCTGGGTCGAGTTGTCTGCTTTGTGTATCCTGCTGTTTTATTGCTTTTGTAGGCGAGGAAGCTTAGGGCGTTCTGACTGTTGTCTGTTATCTGCCTGAACTGTTGGAGTTAACTGGCCAAATGCCTTCTCTAATCCCTCGTAGATCTGCCACAGCAAAAGTGGAGAAATCAACCCCATGAAGGTAGCCAACCTGGTAAAAGCTTACGTGGAAAAATACAAACATATGAGGAAGCATAAGAAGTCTGATGGTGAAGATGCTCGTGAAGTGGAAAACTGAGAGTGAGCCAGAGCCAACCTGGCTTGTCCTGAACTTACTCTGGCTGAGAACACTATTCCAGAGGAAATAATAGATCTGCAGTTGCATCTCATGGAAAACAAAGTGCAGAGAAGCAAGATGCTAATAAGATTTTTCTGCTGAATCTACTTTTGAATTGTTTCCATATGGGAATGAACTTGGGGTTTTCTTGGATTACCTACAGATGTAGAACTAAATAATTATCAAATGCCTCAGACCAGCAGAATAATTCCAGGGGAAACACAGAACAGATTAATGTTTGGGACTCCCAAATTGCTACAGTTTTCAGGGTTATTTTAATCACAATTTTGGGCTGTGCACCTGTCTCGCTAAAAATTTGAAACTGGACACCACTTTTCATATACAGTGTATCAAGAGCTGTATACGGTTTCCCTTGTGTTTATTTATCACATATGGATTGTCTTTAGAAACTCCTGATTTGATACTTGAAATGTGGTATTTTTAGCCCGCTTGATGGTGAGCGAAGCTGTACTCGCTCTGTCATTTGGGGACTGCAAAAGTGAGCTAACCTTTATAAATTGACTTCAGAAACACTGCTCAAGCTGTGGTGTTTATTTACATTTTGTTGGAAGTATCTCGTTAGTGAAGACTTTTAATTTTTGGGGGTGGGAGATTATGTTGCACTTCTGTAAATAATGCACTGATGGCTAGTTTTGTGTCTGCCTTTCAGGAAAAAAAAAGAAAAAGGAACAAAAAGCAAACTTTGTGAATTTTCAGTACAAGCTTGAGGGATAAGGTGAACTGATGTACAAAGCAGAAATGTGACAGAATTTATAAAGTTATTTTGAATGGTTTTAGTCTTACAGCAGGTGTCATTTGTTTGTCTTGCAGCTGCCTCTTTCGTTGGCTTTCCTGTCTGTGCCTGCACACTCGGCTCTTACGGGAGGAATACTGTGTTTCTGGAAGAGGACTGGAGTTGGATGAGTCCTCTGTGGGAGGACCGGTTTACATCTGGAGCAGTAAAGGAGACTAGCACGTGTAATGACTTCATCTCGCTTTCTTTGAAAGCACTTCTTGTTCACGAGCACTGCAGACTGACCCATCTCTATTTTAAGTGGACATCTGAAAAATAGTGACTGACAAATACAGATAGCACTTAGCAAGAGCTGTCATTCCCAGTATTCCTAAGTTTAGGAAGAGGGAAGGCATTCAGTAGGGAAGCTGAATAGATGAAGGATAGGTTGCAACTTAGAAATTGCCTTTCCATAAATGGAAACTGAAGAATGTGTGGGGCCTGTTGATAGCAAAGCTTGTGAAGGGAGTGCTGCCCTACCTCTTGGTGCGTTCAGAAGCTGCCCTCTTTGGGGACAGTCATGTTCCCTCCTCTGCACAGTCAACAACTGGGGTCTTTTTTTGTTTTCTTATGAGCCTAGGAATGGCTCGCAAGTGATCCAGTGCTCACTTGCTGGCAGTCAGAGTGCTCTCTGACGTGTGCCATGGGCTCCCCTGCCTGCCCACCACAGCTTTGACTGTGGTTTCCACTGGCTGGTTGAGGACTTCAGCTAAACAAGCCTGTGCACCGGTACTGGAGGCACCGGTACTGGAGGCACCGGTACTGGAGGCACCGGTACTGGAGGCACCGGTACTGGAGGCACCGGTACTGGAGGCACCAGCTAAATGCTCCTCTCACTCTAGGGAGAGAGAAGCATTTTAGAATGGTCTTCCCGGTCTGAGGTTGCTTTTCACACAGAGATGAAATGGGTTGGTGTGTGGTGGATTGGTAACTTCAGCTTTCTTTGGAAATTTTAGTGGAAAACCTCTTGCAGGACACACTGTTGTCTGTAAAGAGGCAGGAGATTGTCTGAGCAAGAAGTGAGCTTTAAACCGAAACTTGTAGCTAGAGAATATACCTGGCAGGTGGGGCTGGGCTTGGGAACATAACATAAAACCCCATTAGTTTTTGTGACACAATAAAGTTGAGAGACCTTTACGTCAATGTTGGCACAAGATTAAGGAAGCGTGATCTGGTTGTGAGTACACTTAGACTGAAAGTGAGAAGCCGTCCGCTCCAGCCGAGGAAATAGTCTGGCAGCTGCAATCCGAGCGAGCAGCGGCTTTGAGCACAGAGCTTCCCCGGCAGAGCAGCAACGCACGTGCAGTCTTTCTGCTGCTCTGAGCAAAACCATCGCTTGGTGTTAGCCTCGATTCACCTACAGGGGTGACAGCCTGTTGCAGGATCGACTCCACGTGCATGTGCTGTGAGAACTGTTTGGTTTCAATCGCCTCTGTGCCCAGAGGAGGGAGGAAGCAGAAAAACCGCACGTTGTGCAAGGGCGAAGTCGCATGAGCAAGAGTTCTGGTTCACTCTTTCCTCCTGCCTCTTGTTAGGAATAAATCCATCACTGAGGAGGCCAAGCCCTGGGGTGAGAGAGTGTGGATAACATTTCTGAAAATGCTGCCTTCTGCATCTTCCATGAAATGGGTTTTCTAGTATACTGCATAGTCTACTTGTGTCGATTTGGGGTTTTGTTTTGTTTTGTTGTTGCTGTTTTTTGTCATTGCATTTTTTTATTCCGCTTCTGGGTGACCTGCTTGGATCAGGTGCTGCTGCCTGTTTGATGAAAGACTATTTATTCAGTTCAAGCAGGACATTAGTAGCGTGTCTTCCTCTTAGTGTCCGTTCCCTCTTTGACAACAACAGGAGTAACACCAGGCGAAACCTCATTGGGCAAAGGTACTTGTGGTGCTGTGAAGAGCTGACACCACAACTGCTCTGCTGCTGGCCTTATCCTATAGGAGACCTCAGGAGCTGCCTCCCGGGCATCCCTGGTGGCTCTAAAGAGGAGGTTTTACTATAGAAATAAGTGCTGTGGTTGTGAAAGGTGGCTCTAAGAAAGGAGTGTCCTGCGCTTTGTGCTTGGTGTTTGCTAGGCTCAGTGGTGCTGCTGCAGGTGGAGGTAGGAGGGGCTGTGGAGGTGGGGATGGGGTGGCGTGGGCGCTGCTCCTGTCCCGCTTCACCCCGTCTGTGATCCCGGCGCCGCGCTGCTGCTGGGCTGGGGGCTGCTCTATGGAGAGCCTTTGCCCCGACCCATTGGGAAGCTGAGCCAAGGTTCCTGTGTTTCAGGAAATGACCCTTCCCGTTGGAGCTCTCATGGTTTGAGTTGTTGAACAGTGTCTGGGCCAGGATCTTGCTTAGTTGCTGGTGTCTGCATGAGAAGTTGGTTGTAACCCTTGAGGTTTGCGCATCGGCAGGAGAGCCTTGCCTTGCCCACAACAGGGCTTCAGAAATGATTAGGGTACTGTGCATTTGAACTGCTCTCCTGCCAAAAGAGTGTAGGAAAAGCAAGTGCAAATACTAGAGGGCATGAGGGGGAGCAATTCCCAAGTCCTGCCGGTTGGAGGCTGCTGGAATTGAGAGCACGAGGTCCCTCTGTCTCAGGGGTTATGCGATGAGTTAGACTTTGGTTTCTAGCCAGGGGTGCCTGGATCGTTGGGGAGCTGCCCTGAGGAAAGAAGGAAGGACGGATGGACAGATGGATGGATGGACAGATGGATGGACAGATGGATGGCGAAAGAGAGGGTGGGGTTGTCGGGGCAGCCTCCGGAGGCGGGAGTGAGAGGAGGAAGCGAAAGGAGGAGGCCGAGTGAAGAGAGGACCTGGTGCTGCGCTGCAGAGCCATGGCACAGCCCCAAGCCTGTGAGTAGCCGCCCCCAGCTTTTCTGCTGCGGGTGGGACCCCTCGAGAGTCACATGGGAGCCTTTGGCTCCTCTTTCTGGGAGAGGAAAGAGGAGTGCTTAGGACAGAGCAGAATTTCTGTGGAGGCTTGTTGCCCGTCCCGGGTTACGTGGCAGTGTGGAAAGCTGGTGGGTTGCTCATGAGCATGGAGCCTTGCGCAAGGAGCCGCCACATTCGGTGTCACTTGCCAAGGAAGTGAAACGAGGGCAGGAAGGAGAAGAAAGCAAGCTGGACTTTATTTCAGTTTAGTGCCCCCCTCCCCTTCCTTGGGGCTGCTCTGGCTTCTCTGGCCACGTGCAACTCTCTTTTCCTGCTTCGTCTGCATGTGGGACCCTGATGTCCTCCTGATACTTGCTGACCTCCCCGTGCTGGCCGGGGACCGCTGGCGTGTCTGGAGGGCGAGGATGTGAGAGAGGGAAGTGCTTGAACTCGATGGCCCCGTCGCATGTCCCCATGTCCCGTCCTGCGCGGGGTGGCAGCGCGAGGGCTGGCTCAGCAAGCTGCTGCGGGGAGCTGGGCCCTGGCAGCCCGCCTGGGAGCGGGAATCCCCGGGGAACGTGGAGGCGGCTGCTGCCGCTCAAAGCGCTTCGGTGAGGGACAAGTGGGAAACGTGGCTCTGGGCTGGGTCAAACTGGGATGGGCCCCTGCTGCTCCCAGGGTCCTGAGGCCGGCCAAGGTGCTCTTGCCTCTGCTTTCATTTGCTCTCCTGAGAGACCAGGGGAGCTGCTCGGAGCACAGACTGAGCCCCACGCTGTGGCTCTGGTCTTCAGACAGCTCCTGTTTGGCCTCTGCTTGCTCTTGCTGGGCTAAAGGATGCGAAAATTGTGACGAACCCAAGGGCGGGTGGTGCCCAGTGGCCGGGGTGCCGCAGGGCTCCCTGGCAGCGGGCGGCAGCGGGGCCGGGACCCGCGCGCTCCTCAACCCCTGTTCCTGTGCCGGGCCGCAGGTCGGGAGCCGCCGGAGGGGCCGCGCGCAGCGACGCTCTCCGCGCAGCGGCTGCGGGTGCTGCCCGCGGCCGTGCTGGGCAGCCCCGCGCTCGAGAGCCTCGACCTCGACAGGAACAAGCTCAAACACGTCACAGGCATCTCCAGGCTCGGCCGCTTGAAGAAGCTCATACTATCCAAGAATGAGATTTTGGACTTCCCAGGTGAAATCCAGAGCCTGGTCTACTTGGAGAAGCTAGAGCTGAATCAGAATCAAATCCGCGTCATTCCAGAGGGGATTTTCTCCCAACTTTCCAGGCTCAGACACCTGCGTCTGAACAACAACCGCCTCTGTGCCCTGCCCCAGGACCTGGCAGCGTGTCAGGGCAGTCTCCAGTATCTCAACCTGTCCAACAACTTGTTCCGAGCCTTCCCCCAGCCCGTCCTGCACCTGACCAATTTACAAGAGCTCCACGTGCAGAATAATGCCCTTCGCCAGCTGCCCAAGGAGCTCTTTCAGGGACAATCCCTGAAAATGTTCAAGGCCAACGGGAACCCGCTGAGGGAGCCACCCAGCGAGGTGTGTGCTGGTGGCATCCAGCAGATCAAGAACTACTTTGTGCAGCTGCAAGAGGGTTTGGGGCAGGAGGACAAGAGGGTCAAGACCATGTTCCTAGGAGCTTCGCTGGCAGGAAAATCCACCATCTGCAAAAGCCTGAAGCAGGGGCAAACCAAACTGGTGCCCGAGGAGGAGCGAACGGTTGGGATCGAGATCAGTGAGTTCCGGATCGAGGACTTCACTTTTCTCTTCTGGGACTTTGCTGGCCAGCTGGAGTATTACATGACTCACCACGTGTTCATCACCCCGCAGGCACTTGTCATCCTGGTGATCAATCTGCACATGTAAGTACTGTGCAGGTTTGAATTCTTAACGGGAGAGAGAAGGAAAATGAGTCTGGGCTGAGGACTTTTCCTTCTGCTCCGATTTCCATGCGACCT